TTTTTTTTTTTTTTTTTTTTTTTTTCCATGTCCGGCAACGGATCGCAACCCTCAGTGTTGCCCCCGCACCGGGCCGGGGACCGGCAACGGGATTGCAACCCTCAGCGTCGCCCCCATGCCTCGCTCAGCCAGTGAGCGGGAACCGGTCTGTATGTGGGATCCGAACCCTCGAGCAGGAGCGCCACCGCGCTTCCCAAGCGGCGCACTATCCAGTGCGCCACCGGGCCGGCCCAAAAGTGGGCTTATGATGACAAAAACTGTGCTTATGATGGTAAAAAATGACAAAGTACACTTAAAAGGAGCTGCCATTTATTGAGCATGTGCTACGTACAAGATTCGAGGTTACATACTACTTCCAATTCTCATTACAATCCTACAAGATAATTAGGTCTAATTCCTTCAAATGTGTGTAAGAGATATTCCATATCCTAGATTAACAGGTATACTCAGCAAACTCTATAAGTTCTATCTTGCTTAAGATTTCCAGTGTGGAAACGATATTAGTCATAATAAATTCAACCACTTTGGACAGGGCCTGTCACAATGGAAGCTTTATTATAGAGTAGCCACTACTACTAGTATCATCATCAAACAAGTTGACTTTATGACAAGTTGATATATCTGAACAAATGGTTCAGATATATCCAGTCAGTTTCCTTCGGAGATATATACAGTCATTCTCTTCTGGACACTGACATCATAAAAGAAATTTCTCTTGGTGCTTTTTTAGTCATCTTCTTTGATCACAATTCTAAGTACAGCATAACAGATCTACTCTTAGATATGTAAGTGGAAGGTACTGTAGCTTTAAAAGACCAGAATTCATGTTCTGTTTAGGCAGGTGGCTAATCTATGACTCCTTTATTTACCCCTTGAGCTTGAGAGTTTAACGTTTGGCTTATGAGGCCACTATTATTAGTAAAGGAGCTTGTTTTAAAGAGACCATTCATATAAGAATCACATGTTTTATATAGAAGCATGTGCTTTATCAGGCTTCTTCATAAGGACAGTTTACTACTTACAGCTATACACAGGAGAAAAACAAATAATGAAAAGTTGTTTACAAACTGACAATCTTGAGGAGAAAGAGACAGGTATAAACATATCAAATATATTTAAAGTGCTTTTTTTTTTAACTTTTAAGAAAAGGATAGTATCTTTAATATACTGAGGTCATTTTTAAATATTAAAAAAAAAAAAAAAAGGAAAACCCCAAATACAAAAATGGGCAAAGGGCATAAGTTCATAAATTATGATAGAAATACAAACATTATACATGACATGATATGGTGGCTACCAAAGGATGAGAAAAAGAATTATAAAAAGAAAAAAAGTTTGAATTTGGGGTTAAAATTTAATTAGGTATATTGTAGAGAATATAAAACAGGAATTCAAAATAGAAAAAAAATGAATATAACAGATATATTTAAAAAGAAATACTGGGGGGCTGGCCAGTTAACTCAGTTGGTTAGAGTGCAGCCTTACAACACTAACCCTAAGGTCACAGGTTCAGATCCCCATACCAGCCAGCTGCCAAAAAAATAAAAAAATAAAAAGAAATACTTTTCCCAGCAGTTGCTTTTAAAAAGGCCCAAAAGTAGCAGCAAGACTCTGCCCACCTCTACTCTGATGGGCCCCATTAATCCTCCCAATAGCCCAAATTTTGGTCTCATACTATTCTAAATTTAAAAGGCCTAGAAGTTCTTGGAGAGTAGCTGATTCTACGTCTTGTGGTGAGAAAATTTTAGAAAGGATCTGGATCATCCTGTTGTTGCTAGAAAGCAAGGATGTTTTTACAAGGATGTCATGGGGGTAGTTTGAAAAAAAAAAGAGAACCAGCAAAAAGGACTCCTACTGGCCAGATTGTGAAACAAGGAGCATTAAAAAGAAAATAACAATTATGATTAATTAGAATACTTTGAGTCTGTGAAAGGTCAAACAATAATACCTGAAAGGAGAGTTTTAACATAGAGTGTACAAAATGATTGTTGTATTGTTTATAAAAGAAGAAGGGCTAGAATAGGATATGATTTTTCTATAATTTTTAAATGTAGGGAATAATTAACCTTATATATTTTTTCTTCTAAATAAACATGTGTTTAAAAATTTAGGCATGTGTTAAATAAAAACACAAGGTACAGAACAGAGCATAGTATATACTATACTTGGTGTAAGAAAGAAGGCAATATTTAAAGTGTACATATGCACATTTGCTTATTTTTGCAAAAAGAAACAACAAAAATTACAACAACAACAAAAAATAACAAAAAGGATAAACCAGAAACTAAAAATAATGGTCACTATGGAGGCCAATATGAAATGGGGGATGGAAGTAACAGGATGAAGGGCTAGGCTTGGAAGCAAAATTTCTCAGAGTATGTCTTTTTGTACAGTTTTCACCATTCAACTGTATACATATTTCATAACTTCAAGAATAAAAACAAGGAGAAAGCAAACCCCCAAACTGAAAACTAACTGAAGCAAAAAAACCTAATTATATCACACTGATAACTTAATCCTATAGAAAAATGATTTCAAGTTATCTTTGAACACATCACTCTGATATTACACTTACTGAGCTGTATACTCAAGAGAAAAGGAACTGCAGAGAAATCTTAACTTTCACTCCATACTTTAGTTTTTAATAGTAACACTGGTACTACAATTTTAAGACCGTCATGTGTACTCATATATTATAGGATAAAGTTTTATTAGCAATCAAGAAGTTCAGTGTGCATTAAAAGAAATATAGTTCTTTTTATGCATAAATTTGGAAATATGAAAATGAACTAACATATTTTTGAGTTAATGTATTTCCTAGCTCTGTCCATTGAAAGGGCCTAAAAGTAAAAACACCCAATTACAATGAACAGAACTAGACCTTAGTCTCTGTTGTGGGTTGAATTGTGTCCCCCCAAAAGGTATGTTGAAGTCTTCACCCTCAGTACCTGCGAATATGACTTTATTTAGGGTCTTTGCAGATATAATCAAATTAAGATGAGGTCATACTGGATAAGGGTAGACCTTAAATTCAATGACTGGTGTCCTTATAAGGACAGAGAGATTTAAATACACAGAGGGAAAAATTCCATATAAAGAGACAGGCAGAGATTGAAGTTATGCTGCCACAAGCCAAGGAATGCCAAGGATTGCCAGCAACCACCAGAAGCTAGAAGAGGCAAGGAAGTATTCCTTTCTAGAGACTTCAGAGGGACACTAACTCTACCAACACCTTGATTGGACTTGTCTCCAGAACTGTGAGAGAATAAATTTCTGTTGCTTAAAGCTACCCAGTTTGTGTTGTTACAGCAACCCTAGGACACCGATAGTCTCTAATGATGTTCCCTACTAAAGTGGCTCCTTAGATATAAGACAAGGAAAGTAAAAGATAATCCTAGGACATATTATTGTTCTAGAAAGCAAGTAAATTCTCCAAGACTACTGGGGCATGTGAAAATGGAGTTCTTGTTGGCCAAATTTGGGACAATTTGAGCATCACTAAGAATAATGACTGTAACTATATAATATTGGATAAACAAAAATCCATGACTCTATTGTGTTTAATATCTGTGTTTATCTATAAAATATTTTGCTACCACTGAAACGACTATTACACCAACTCCTTGCTCTGAATATTGACAATTAAAGAGAAGGATTAAGTATTTGCCTTGCCTTTTTAGGAGGAATTATAGTTCATCCCTAGCTGATGAGTTAAAGTCTTTATTTCTAGAAAAATGCCAACTATTAAATGTAGAGGCAATGACAGAATTTTTTTTTTTTTTTTTCCGACCAGTAATGGGATCGCAACCCTTGGCACGGTGTGGTCTACACCACGCTCAGCCAGTGAGTGCACCGGCCAACCCTATATAGGATCTGAACCTGCAGCCTCGGTGCTACCAGCGCCACACTCTCCAGAGTGAGCCACAGGGCCAGCCCAATGCCAGAATTTTTTAAACTGCCATTCTACAACCCACAGTGATATAACTGATTTGTGCAAGAATCATTAACGGTTACAGGAATATTCTTGCACTATTTATAATCACAGAAAATTAGAAACAATCTAAACGTCCAAAGTAGGGAATTACTTAAATAATTTATAGTTCGTCCTTATTTTATAATGGTGTGTGAGTCAAGTTCTTAACACCTCAAGGATATGCACACGCACACACACAGAGCCATTTTTGAACACAGGTAATACAAGCACTACTTTTTAATTATCAGAAGATATATAAAGAACACTAAGTCTTCCTTTCATCTGTTATCTCCTCAGAGATAACTACCATTATCAGGTTTTCAAGTGTCCTTCCAGATATTCCAAGTAAATCTAAAAGCATATGATTGTGGATACCTGTAATATGTGAGTATGTGTAGACTACTCAAATAAGGCTTTTTATATACAGTTTTGTACCCATATTTTTTCACATAATACATCTTGGAAATTTTTCTATACCAGTGCAAAAAGAATTCCTTTCTTTTTAACAATTTAACAATTAAATTTATGATACAGCCATAAAATGAGAAAATACTACTAATGTCACTTACCAATGTACACATTGTTTTCAATCTTTTACTACTAGAAATGTTATAATTACACATTTATCTTTTTCTATACATTGAACACACCTGAGATAAATTCCTAGAAGTAGAATAGCTGGGCTCAGGAGTATATTTTTGATACATACTGATAAACTGTATTCCATAAAGGATCCCAACAATAAATGCAAGTGCCTCTTCTATACTTTCACCAACCATGTTAAATCAAAAGTTCTAACACTTTTTAATATTTGAGAATCTGAAAAGATATATCTTATCATAATATAACTTCGCATTTCTCCTAAGTGACATTGAGCTTTGTGTTCCCTAATTAAAAGCCATTTATATTTCCTTTTCTTTTGAACAATATCCTTTGCTGTTTTAATTACATTGTCACTTTTTCATATTTATCTGTAGAACTCTTTAAATATTGAGAAAATTGCCCGTTTATATTATGTTTTATAATATTTCCCCTGTTTGTTATTTGAATTTTGGCTTGATTTATGTTGTGGTTTTTTTTGTTTGTTTGTTTTTTGTTTGTGATGCAGAACTTTGTTTTTATGTAATCAAATTTATCAAACTCTCTCTTAATGACTTTGGGTTTTACTTAGAAAGGTCTTCTCTGCTCTGAGATAAAAAGATTCTCCAAATTTTCTTCAGAACTTTTAAAGCTTTGATTCATCTTTTATTTATTTTGATGTAAAAAGTGAGATAGGGCTCCAACTTTACTATTTTCAGAAAACCAACTATTAAGTAATCTAGATGGAATTTAGTATTTATAATATATGAGGGGGTCTTCAAAAAGTTCATGGAAATGTTCATATTATCTTTTATTTTTCCACAAACTTTTTCGAGTACCCTTGCATTAACATCAAAAAGTGGGTTAGGCTACAGATACATGCAACAACATGAACTGAATCTCAAAAATAATATCCTGAGTGATAGAAGCCAGGCAAAAAGTACATACCATATGATTCCATTTATATCAAACTTTAGAAAAAATAAATTTAATATACAGTGAAAGAAAAGAGATCATTAGTTTCCTAGGGTTGGAGAGAGGAGGGAATTACCTGTGAGAGGAACGGGGGAACTTTTGGGGATGATTAAAAAATTTTAAATCTTGACTGTAGTGGTGCTTTCACGGGTGCATACATTTGATGAAACTCAAACTGTACAGTTAAAGTGCTGCATTTATTTATTTTTATTTTATATTTTTCGCGAATGGCTAGTACAGGGAAAATGATGCATTTAATTACATAAATTATACCTCAATAGAGCTGATTTTTTAAAAAGTGAGCTATGAAAGAACATTTACGGTATGATTTCTTTTTGGTTTTAAATAGAATTATACACATTATAAGATTAGAAAAAAAAACACACCAAGGTAATTAGAGTTAACTCTGTGTAAGAGATTATGAGTGTTTTAAATCTTCTTTCTTTTGCTTATTTTTATATCCTGATTTTTCTGTAATGAAAATGAACTACTTTTATGCTAAGAAAAAAGTTATTAAAATTTAAAACAAGTATTATTTTGTATAGACCTTAATAACACTGAAAAAAAAATAAGAGAAATGAATAGGATTTCAGTCTCTACAATGTAAAATAAAGGCTCAAAGCTTCCAGTATAGCATGCTACTTTTCTTAGCCAAATGTCCAAAAATCACTGAATTATATTGTTTTATAATGAAAATCTGAGAGATCATGTTTTCAAACATTATTATTTTAAAGTTAAAAAATGAAATGTGAGGCCCAAAGAGTTAAGTAATTTGCTCACTATCATACCACCAGTTAGTAGCAAACTAAGATTCAAATTCAGTCTTTTTAAAAACAGAGTCAAAACCATGGCACAAACTTTATGCTCTTTGTGCTTTGTCTTTATCATCTTGTTCTTTTTTTACTCACTCATTCTCTGCATTTCAACAAGAATAATACTATTGTTTTGGGCAACTTTTCAAAATAACTTATTTTAGTTACCACTGGAGCCTATAGTTTTAAAATTCTTAAGATTCCTGCTAGTGTATTTGTATTAAATATAATGGCTGGCTGGCTGCTCAGTTGGTTAGAGCAGGATGTTATAACACCAAGGTCAAGGGTTCAGATCCCCAGCCAGCTGCCAAAAAAAAAAGTATATATAGGAGGTATAGCTGGGACTGAATTTTCATAAAACTTCTGATTCAGCTTGTCCAAGGCATCTAAAAACTATTTTTTTTTTTTTTTTAAAGATGACCGGTAAGGGGATCTCAACCCTTGGCTTGGTGTTGTCAGCACCACACTCAGCCAGTGAGCGAATCAGCCATCCCTATATAGGATCCAAATCCGTGGCCTTGGTGAGGTACAGGCTGGCCCTGAGGCATCTAAAAACTTGAGTAGTTTTTAAAATATTTATTTTGAACTTCATGGATAGTAATTTTTAAAATATTATTTTGAACTTCATGGATAGCTTAATTGGCTACACTGAACTCTGAGTAGTTTTTATAATTTGTTATTTACTACTAAAAAGAAAATTTTTCCTTTCTACAATTATATCTTTCATTTCTGTATCTTGATTTGTTGATGATACGATGTTAGACAATAATGACAGAAAAAAATTCTTGTCTTAGTCTGCCTATATTAGAAAAACCTTTGGAGTTTCATCTAAAAATATAAAGCTTATTGGTTGGAAATAGAAGGAAATGTCCTGAACATAAGAAATGACTTTTAATGAACTAAGAATAAAGATAAGCAGCTATTACAATAATAAAATATATTTTTCTCTTTTTTTTTTTTCTTTTTTTAAAAGATGACCGGTAAGGGGATCTCAACCCTTGGCTTGGTGTTGTCAGCACCACGCTCAGCCAGTGAGCAAACCGGCCATCCCTATATAGGATCCGAACCCGTGGCCTTGGTGTTATCAGCACCACACTCTACCGAGTGAGCCACGGGCCGGCCTACTTTTCTCTTTTAATTAACTCATGTTATATCTATTTGCAAACATTAAGCCATCCTTGGATTCCTGAGATGAACTCTGGATAGTCATGGTTTATTTTACTACATACTGCAGAATTTGAGTAGTGGCTGATTTCTTTTTTAACAAACTAATGAATATGATAAGTTAGTTAAATATAGAACATTTTTATTACATTTACAGAATTGTGTATAATTTCCTTTTTTTTTGCTTTGTCAATCTTTAAGTACACTGGGAAGTTCTCTCTTTGTCTAAGCCCCGTCTATGTTCAGATGGCATGGTAATAATACTTTCCTTGAAAAACACCTTTCTTAGAGATAGGTAAATTCACAGAATTGTAAAATATTAAATTTATAAGAGAGCTAAAATGGTATCATTAGCTACAACTCGTCATTTTGCAAATAAGGAAATCAAAGATCAGAAAAATAAAGTGACTTGCCAAGGTCTCCGGCCAAGCAAGGCCCAGCATCCCTAGACCTTCGGTTCAATGAATAACAGATAGATTTTTGTCAACACTTATTCAATAGCAAGGAATATGCTGTACGGGAGTAAAATGAATTGAATTTATCATTAAATGAGAAAAACATTTGGATGATTATAATTAAAAACTAATTATATGACCACTTATTTTTTAAGGTGAAAAAAATACTTTACTGTAGCCATACCTGTGATTTTAATATTACAAGGAATGCCAAAAGGAGCCTCTCCTACAGTTCCAGTAGTCCCACCCCATCTGCATGCACACCCTAAGTCAAGTTTCTGTTGCATGAACTAAAAACAAAACAAAACAAAAATGGTGGCTTTAGCACCTATTTATTTGCTGTCTGGAGAGAAAAATAAAATTCACATGTATACGACAGAGAAAATGTTTTTATATAAGAGCCTTTCTGTTTATCTTCCCCACCCCTCTTTTAAAGATTACTTTGTCTTTCTGCATTTCTACAGAATTGAAATCTATATAAGTGCCTTACTCTAAAAGCATCTCATTAAAAAAAACATTCTTTAGTCCAAACCTCATGCTAATTATAATATGGCAAATTTCAGTTTTCTCTACCTGTTCAGTGATGGCTTGGAAGCTATAGAGTCTGACCAGTCCTGAGCTGTACATCACAATCAGTATTCCATGAGACAAGGTGGCATCTGTAATGTTCCCAAAAATCTGGGGAGAAAGGCAGATATCACCTGAGAAAAGACCAGAAAGCCAATCCTCTGAGTGTTCACAGTGGTTTATACTCTTGCTTAATATTTAGGTCACCACTACAAGACTACTGCCTAGCATTAAAACTTAATTATACTTTAGAAACTTTAGGCTAGGGTGTTATTAGGGGTGAGTAGTAAGCCACTGAACTCTCAGACTGGAGCACAAGGGGAATTATAACACCTACCCCTCAAAATGATGCACTAGCATTCATTTGCTTCATAGCTTTGTTAGTATCTTTTAAAATCTAATCCTATTCCTCATGGATACCAGTACACACTGAAGCCATGTCATTCTAAATAAATATTTAATTTACCATGCATATCCTGCCAGGGACCCATGCTTTATGCTAAAATGTTCTTTACAGAAAGACAAATTTTTATATCTAATTAGAGTTAAAAGAATGGATCAAGGAAAGTAACTGTAAGAGAAACAACCAATTCCAGAATTTTATCATTACTTTCTTTTTAAATCTCTAACACTGTTTTATTTTTTAGTCATATAAAAACCAAACATGTTATAAAGACCAAACCCCTGCAGAGACATTCTGTCTAGCTGACTTGAATAAGGTTTTGGTTCACTGTTTGTTCCCTTTTTGTTTCTGTTCCATGCATTGAATCCTGTCACAATTCGCCAAATAGCTCTGATAAAGAACTTGATTCTGTGCCTATTTTAATATTTAACAAAAGCCAACATAGGCAAATATTAATAGTAATGAAAGACTAGAAATGAAGTGAAAATCTGTTTCTATTTCTACTCAAGACGGATTACTAAGTGAAGATCTACTACCTGAATGAACAGCTTAAAGTACATTCTGAGCCTGGCCCCTGGGTAGTCTTATTATTCATGGTAAGTGAAGGATGTCCTTCAATCCCAAGTAACCATAATAAAAACCAAATCACTCAAATGATTTACCTTGGACATATAAGAATAAATAGAAACAACTTATTACTTGGCTAAGTGTTCACTCCTATTGTAGACTGTAATAACATACACAATTACTTAATCCACAAGCACGAAGAGAACAATTAAATTTTGAATTGGGCTTTTTTGTCACCTTTTAGAAGGATAATTACAGTCTGCTTTGATGTTGACTTTTGCTCATGACTTTTTAATTCACTGATCCTGGTTCCCCACTTTGAAAAGGAGGAAGTGTAATAGAAACATATTTGTAAATAATGAGTCCATAATAAAGAAGCCACCCTTTTTTAAAATTTGGTTTATACTTTGGAGTGAAATGTAAGTTCAAATTCTAGCTCCTGGGGCCGGCCCGTGGCTCACTCGGGAGAGCGCGGTGCTGATAACACCAAGGCCCCGGGTTCGGATCCCATATAGGGATGGCCGGTTCGCTCACTGGCTGAGCGTGGTGCTGACAACACCAAGTCAAGGGTTAAGATCCCCTTACCGGTCATCTTTAAAAAAAAAAAAAAAAATTTTCTAGCTCCTTCACCTACTATTGTTAGAATTTGGGTAGATGCTTAAATCCTTAATTGAATACATTATACATTACAATGTCGTAAAATACTCAAAGTACCTGGCACAAAATAAACAATTAATGAGTGATAACTAATATTATTCTTTAGCCTTTATGCAGTTTAGTATATTGTGCTTACATAATATAAAATTTTAATACATTCACCTTATTTGCTAATCAGTATTAGTGGACCCTCAAGATCTTGTCCTCTACAATACTTCAGATGCTTAAATAAAGACTAGTAGAAACCCAATAAATAACTAACTATTCACCCAGAGTAAACAACAATTTTTAAAAGGATAGAAGAGTATTGATTCTTTTACTCTAAGGAAATTTATCCCTTCTTTCCTCCCATGCAACTGCTCCACAAATCAAGAACAATGGCAACAACAATAAAATCCAAAACCGAATGAGTTGAAAAATTTACATATTTAATTATAAGGCTGTTTATATACCATAAAGCAGCTTTGGATCTATACCTTGCAATTAAAAAGACATTTTGTTGCAGCTTTTCATCTTCCTTTAATGTTCATTTTAACAAGCTTTGGAATATTTCCTCTGAAAAAAATACCTTACTCATTTTGTAATTTCATAAAACAGTAGTTTGTTAATGACCACAGGTATTCAAAACTATCCACCTGAGAGGCATAAAAGCATGCAGAAAGATGAAGGGATAATTAGGCTCCCTTCACAGGTCAAATGTTCTCATGTATTTTGATATGAAATAAACCAGGTCAGTGAACTTTTTATAATTAGGGGAACATTCCAATCAAAACGCCTAATAAATAATTAAATGATGACATTACATCTTAATGTCAATAAAATTAATATTGCAATTAAATAAGCAGTGGGTTCTTACCTTTTTGTTGATCTCTAGAATCCCTACAAGTGAAAAAGGTAGAACTCGGAACACTGCGAGGTACAGCAAAACAGGTTGTTGAATGCCTGCCTGTAAGTAAAGTCTAAAATCATAGGCAGCTCTCAAAAGTACTTCAGAAGCACTCTGTTTTCATGAATTGACAACATCCATCTGTCCTAGCATGAAGTTATGGAGATGTTTTCATGAATTGAAAACATTGATCTATCTAGATTGCAGTTACTTAAACAGGAGGGCAAACATATTCAAAATATTTCTGCTAAACCTTCAGTCCTTCAAACACATGCATACACATACATACACACAAAAATCCACAAAAATAAACATAACAATAAACATTTCTTAGCAATGAAATACTATGCATTTATATTGTAAATTAAAGTTCTAACAGTAAAGAGCCTAATCAAAAGACACATACTTTTAATGGTCATACCATCTGAAAAGTAGTGCTACACTGACATGTCCATATGAAATGAGAAAAAAAAAAATCAATGATGAAAGTTTGAGGGATTTCTCTGCTTGAACAGGATAGTTCCCTTACTTTGAAGTACAAGGTCCAGTCAATTTCTCTCCACTATGAAATATAAAATAATCTGTTGTACTCTCCTAATACAGGCTTGAAGGTAATTTCCTAAATTTGTGGTAGGCAAAGGTATCTGCCCCATCACAGCCAGACTCTGTTTCAACAGAACCTTAAAGGCTGGGGCTTCAAGACCACCAATCAAAACTGCCGTAACTAAAAGTTAGAAAACAAATGAACAACGACGAAAATAGACTGTGATGTTTAAAGCCCCAAAGATTCTCCTTTTGAAAGAGATATATTTTTATTAAACTAAGATCTTCAAGGTGTAAATCAAATTCCCTCCATGTTCCTAAAACCCAAAGTAAAGGTATATATCTCAACCAAGAGCGATTAGTTGTTGGATGGAGATTGTAGGAAAACAGTCTGGAATGCAGAAATAACAAGACTTTTATTAATATTATCAGATTATGATAAATTAAAAACCTTGATAGATGGTACTATATAAAATTAGATTTAAGTTCTTGCTCTTTGGGAATTTAAATTCTTTAAAAGGGACATTAGACAAGACAATTTTAGAAGTCTCATAAAATGTTTTGCTACTTTGTTATACTATTTCACTTTTGTCAACTTTTCTTTATCAAAGTGGAGAGGGCAATACACTGAGAGTATGAGGAGAGAAGTATTAATAAGACAGACAACATCTCTTTTTCTTAGATTGTCACACTCAATACATTAGGAAAAGGGTGAGGAGATTCCACTAAAAGTCATGCAGTTATGTTATTAATATGACTGAACAGGATACAGGAAAAAGCTAGAAAAATATTTATAGATAACCATGGTAAAAAGTAAGTGGAAGTAGCCAACAAATAGTTTACTTGGATTCAGTAGGGTACAGAAAGAGCAGGCAAGGGAAATAAGAGAGGAATGAAAAGCAGAGTTCACTGGCCCAGAGTGTGAAGGGAGTAAATGGAAGGGTTAACAAGGGAATGCTTGATACAGGTATCTAACTAAGGTAAAATCAGAGGAATTACTTAATTTTTTTAAAGGCGCCCTAGAATTCTATATAAATTTTACCTGCCAATCAGTGTTACAGGAATTTCAAGGAGGTGCAGCATGTTATAGTGCATAAAACTGTGGAGCTAGGCTGAGTTTGAGTCTAGGTTCTACCTTTTACCGGCATTATGACCTTGGGTAAGTTACTTAACCTCTCTGGGTCTCAGTCTCCTCATCTGTAAAATGGGATAATAATACTATCTATTGTAAGGGGTGTGCTGAGGATTAAATGCATTAATACAGGTAAAACATTCACAATAGTGCTTGGCTGTTCTATAATCAAGGACACTAGAGAAAAAAAGCCAAAGTAGTTCTAATTAAAAAGAAGAAAGAACTAGAACACAGAATCTACCAAAAGGAGAGAGAAAATAAGTATTTGTTTTTTCTAGAGGTCCTGGAGTATGAAGAAACAAAAAACCTCTAAGAGCAGAGTCTTTATCTATTTAAAAAGAAGTGCTCAATAAATGCTTTTTATAGTATTTCCCCCAAAGCCACCAACAGAAACAAAATAAGTTTCTTTTTTTTTTTTTCCTTTTGGTCTTTTTTTTTTTTTTTACAAATGCATATGTTGAAATGAACTTTAACATTAGCCTACTTTGAGATATATCCTTTTGCAGAAATTGGTGATTAATAGGAACAAGGTGTTGCGCCCGCACCGCGCTCAGCCAGTGAGCGGGAACCGGTCTCCACATGGGATCCGAACCCTCGGCAGGAGCACCGCCACGCTCCCAAGTGGCGCACTCTCCAGTGCGCCACTGGGCCGGCCCGAAAATAATATACTTTCAAGTAGCATTTTGAATTCTCAATACGACCTACGTGGACAGCACCATTAGATCTTTCTCTGCTCTCTTGTTCCCTTGGCACAAAGCAGACTGTCACTCCTTTTTTTCCCTTTCATATTCCAGAAGGAAAACAACATTTTACAAGTTTCTCTTTAATGTTTCTTGGGTGCCCTGCAAACTCTGACTCCCACCAAGGAGAAAGAAGGAGGTGCCTGGTGGACAGAACTGGACGGCAAGGTCCCTGCTCACTTTAAGGATCCAGCTGCCCAGAACCTGATCAGTCCTCTCAAATACTGACCGGTAACGGGATCGCAACCCTCGGTGTCGCGCCCGTACCGGGGACCAGCGACAGGATCGCAACCCTCGGTGTTGCGCCCGCACCGTGCTCAGCCAGTGAGCGGGAACCAGTCTCCACATGGGATCCGAACCCTCGGCAGGAGCACCGCCACGCTCCCAAGTGGCGCACTCTCCAGTGCGCCACCGGGCCGGCCCCAAAATAAGTTTCTGATATAAATTTCTAGACTTCACTTTATAAAAATCTAGGACATCTTGCACAATTCTTTTTAAAAAAAAAAAAGAAAGAGAAATCTATTTTAATAGCATGCTTTGGGAAAAAAAATTCTACCTACCAACTTCTATAGCATAGTTCAGAAATCAAAGATCATTAGTTCCTTCATAACAAATTCACAAATTCCAATGGAAATGAATTTTTTGTTTTACTGAATGTTTAAAGATGTTTACCTGCCGGGCCATTGCTGAGCCTTTGTTCTGAGCTGACTTGACTGCAATGACTTCTTGAGGAGTATCCCAGCTCAAGTATCTTTTAAAAAAAAATGAAGAGAAGTTTATTCATCTGGGTCAATTTCCCCATACTTACTTAAAAACAAAATATTATAAATATAAGTAATCAGTTTTTTAGTTACTTAAATAATAAAAGCAATCTATTTAAAAAAAAATAAAATAAAATAACTAAAGGAATTCTCTCCAGATCCCTATATGGATATATCCCTATTTAAAAAACAAACAAACAAACATATACATATATAAAATTCTAATCCTTCTAGTCTTGAAGAAAAAAATTATTTTTGATCTAAGAGTATGCAAAACTTAAGAAACAACCATCTCTACTTTAAAATGGAAGTTATAAAAAACATTAAAAATGTGACTTTTACAACGTCCATGCACTTATTTACTCCTAAAGTTTATGTCTAATTTACAAAACTAATAGTTAAAATAACAGTTCTTGGATTGTACTAGGCAGATAATTTAACTGAAACAGACTAGCCTTCAGGAAAACCTACCATAAAGTGCATCCTACATAGAAAATACTATTTGTAGAAGAGATAAAACAGGGAATTAAAAAAAAAAAGTTTATCTGCCAATTACTATTAGCTAGTTCGTCGTGAGGGATACAAAGATAAATGACAGAGGGTCTCTATCCTCGAATCTTCAGATGTAGTTATGGGGCGAGAAAAAGAAAATAGGTTTATAAATTGAGATCTGGGTATGTACTGGAAAACTGGGGGAGAGGGAGAGCTTGAAATTTCCTGGGCCACAAGTCTCAAAATTTTATAATAAAATCTTGAATAATAAACTCAAAGTAAATACCTGAATTTGCAATAAGAAGCAAGATATATTTTCTCAAGGATTTTTCCTGTAGTTGCTGATATACGAAGTAGCCAATTATGAGCAGTCAGTGCTATGAGTGAGGACTTATAATCAGATGGATTGGAAAATATTTCCCCCTAAAAAAGTAAATGATGTGTAAAAATGAAACTGCTTAGTTATGAACAATTTGCAGTAATCAATGTCCAAAGAAAATAGCTAAATACTTAAAGAAATAGCCAAATAAGTAACCAAAGAAGAAATATTAAATGCAGAAACAGAGAATTAAGACAAGGAAAGATAAGACTATGGGTAATTATTTTCATCATTAACTTATTAAGGGAGTTTATTCATATAAAGTACTTAAACAGTGCCAGAAATAATTTATTATTACTTATTATTATTTATCATTAAGTATTCAACAAATGTTAGCCAATCATAATAGCAGTAGGAGTATTAATAATGATGCCATTGCTGTAGTACCAGTAACAGCTCTTAAAATCATGTACAATAGCATAGCAATTACAAGTCATCTGCTACAAAAGACATTCATATTGTACCTTTTTTCTTTACTATAGGACTTGTTTTCCTTTAGATGAATGTCAAATTTGCAAAGTACAAATTATCCCATTATTCACTGTGGTTCTACTCTAACCTCAAATGAAAAGCTAGAATCCAGAATCAAGGTAGCCAAAGAACAGAAGACAGACCTGGTTTTAAAGATGTCACCAATGAATTATCCCAGAAAAGGGATAGGTTAGATGCTAAGGCACCCCTGTCACTGAAGAGCTATCACAAGACAGAAGTCTAATGCATGAAGAGAAAGAGAAGCAAAAGGTTCTATTTTGACTTGTGGAGTAAAAAGGCAGTTAGAAGAGGAAACTTAAGAATAGAGAAGTTGAAATTAATCTAGTATTTGCTTAGCCCAATAAGTGAATAGAAAAGAATGAAGGCATAGTTATTTTATATATGCTCCTACAGATCTGTCTTCCCTTTCAAATGTTAGGAAAAGAAATAAGTTTTGTTTTTTGGTGGGGAGGTTGGTTGTGGTTTTTTTTTTTTAAGCTTATTAACTACTAAAAGTCTTACACTGAATTCACAGGCAATGACGTAAATACTTTTTTACTCTTTTTTTTGGCAGCTGGCCAATAAGGGGATGCGACCCCTACTTTTTTATTCTATGTCTTACATAAGTACCATTTCATGGAGATTTAAAATTTTTTTCTTTGATTTTTTTGGTGGCTGGCCAGTACAGTGATCTCAACCCTTGACCTTGGGGTCATAATACCATACTCTAACCAACCACACTGTCAGCCCCTTTAGGTTTTTAAAATGTTCTATTTATACCTTGCTTATTAAAAAAAAAACCCTGAAGCAGCATATATGAGTATAATATGTTTGAACTATTTTCCTAAAACACAAAGATGTATTTCACACACTGTCTTGGAAAGGGTACTAATTCAAGAGCAGTTTCACATCAGTATATTAACAACAACATAATAAGCTTCTTCATTTTTCTTACCTCACTTCAAAACTTTATTTCACTTCAAATGAGAACAAAATGTTTAAAGGGAAGTGAGAATAGGAGTTAGGTTACTAGAAACTATTTCTGCAAGATAACTCTAAATTTTTGATGTTTTGTACTGGTGTATTCAAAACTTCCTGAATTAAGAGTATGTTATATTCCCTCTCACCCCAGTGAAAATGGATTAAAAGGCTTTAAACATTATTTTTGGTCACAAATTGTGATTTCTATATTTCCTGAAGAACAACCAACCAGATTCAAAGACCTGATTAATTTGTTGCAGTATTTCCTAAGTGCATTTCTTAGAACACTGATCCCATAGAAAACTAATATTTAGAAATATTCCTCAAAAAAAGAAATTCTATGATCAAAAGAGTTTGGGAAAATGTTATGACAATCATCACGCACATTGGTATTATTATAAGTATTGTTAGTATTAAGGTCTCTGAGAAGTAATTCTATAAATACACCTGTTTAACCTTTTAAACTCAGAATATCCCAAACTTAATTTTTCCACAGCCCAATTCTTCCCAAACCCTCTGGCACCTATATACTTGTTACATCCTTGAGAACAGTGTTCTGAAAAATCCACACCAGGGCAGTGCTGGTCTGATGGAATAAGCTTATCTTTTATGTTTTTTTTATGTTTTATTTTTTATTTTTATCTTATTATTTTCCTAACAACATTCATGGAGGAAATACATGAGAATCCATTTTCAAAGAGCCATATAACTTAAATGTTGCTCTAAATAAAGACTTTTTTTTATTGTTTCAGTAAATTAAGTGGAATGATCTCTTAAACTCTAAGAATAATTATAAACTAGCTTATATTGCTTATAAAACTTTTAATCAGTTTATAACTTTATCTAGTTCTCAAGATTTAAAAAATTATATCTAATTTTAAAAACATATTCATACTAATTTTTAAAAAATTATTTCATGAGGAAAAATGATAATGAAAAGAAACTCTCTTCTTGATTGCTTTAAAGATTCAAGAATCACTATGACATTTAAATTTTATTCCTTTATATAAAATCTCAACAATAAATAGCTCTTTTAGGCTAAAGATGCTTTAGAAACAAATGTTCTAAAAACAAATCTTACCACTGGGCATTCCCATAATAAAGCATCCTCTATTTTTTCTGATTTGGAACATTTTGGCATTTCATAAAGTTTTCTTGGCTTTGATGCAATGCTGGGAAAAAAGAAAAATAAATGATTATTTTTTTTTTCAAAACTGATACAGTACTGGTATATGTTTAAGGTTTTTTTATTCAGAGATCTGGAAAACAAAAATAGAACTTGCTATTTGCTTTCCTCTTCTTAACTAAATGTTAACATTTTTTTCTGATCATAATTCATAATACACATTCATAGAAAAAAATGTGAAAAATATAACAAGATTAAAATAGTTTATAATACTATAAATCTACTAAAAATAACCATTACTAATATTTGGCTCATTTCCTCCTAATTTTTTTTTATATACATTTACCTACCTGGATACTGTTTTCCAAAATTGGATAATATTGAATTCTTTCTTTACCTCTGAACATTTACTATGAATATCTTTGTTGATTTCCTTCAAGTTCATAAACTATTGTTCTGATATTTAAAATGAAAACTAGTAGATAAAAAGGGTCGCATTACTTTAGAATAAAAATTAGTGGATGAAAAAGGAAATTTCCTTTATGGTATTTTCACTCCCAAATTACCTTTCAGAAATGTTGAATAAGTTTACACTTCTGCCAATACTGAACATTATATCTTTGATGTAAAAAATAGTCTCTAAGTTAAATAAACAAATTAAAAAAAAATTTTTTTTTAATTAAAAAATAAATAATAAAAAAGTCTCTTACTTTTAGTTTATACTTCTCTGTTTACTACTGAGATGTGATCATAGATGTTTTCATTTTTTTACTGATGAATTTAAAAATTAGACTACTGTTAAAAGAGAAATGATTTTCAGGGTGACAATTTGATTCACCTTTGATGTTCTCTCACTGATTCAAAGGTTTAATCCAAACAGAATTTCACAGGAATGGAAGCAACCTCATACGTGATTCTAACATGTTGTTAAAACACCCCTGGATGGCCTGTTGAAGAACTCCAATACTATTAACCATTAGAACACTAATCAATGATACTTACTCTAATTTTAAAACATTTTTAATTAAAGCAGGAACCCCCAAATTGGGAAAGTTATGAACTATGCATTAAATGATACTAAAGAATTATTTTGTTAGGTGTGATGATGGCATTATGACCATATAAGAAAACGTCCAGATTTCCACTTCCAGCATGACAGCATGAGGAGCTCTAGGGACATATTCTTCAGCAAAACTGGTGAAAATTATAAAAGGACAACCATTTAAAGTCTCTTGAAATGGATCTGGGGAAATACAGCATATAAAGAAACATTATTCAAGAAAACCCATTAGAACTCAGTAAAAATAGTGAGATTCTGTGATATTTGAACCAGGGCATGCTCCCTCCCTTCTCGCTCCCAGCTCAGCAAGGTGGAAACTCTACTCCAGACTGGTATATCCAAGACCACAGGGCTCCCTCTCCTCCCAGCTTCCACTCAGAGGGCTATATTCCCAGGAGGGGCAGGATGACAGCATTTCTCATGCAGCCCCTAGCTGCCAGTTGCTTTTTATTACTGAGTTCTTTATATAGGCAAAAGATACAGGTCACAAACTTAGATCTACATAAAGAACGGAACAGCATTTAAGAAGGAATAAATAAAAGTAAAACAAAACCCCTTTTTCTTCTTATTCTTTATTGATTTAAGAGGTAATTTATTTAAAATAATAATAGCAACAAGGCATTCAATGATTATAGTACATGGATAAGTAAAATGAATGATAGCAATGTTATAAAAGACAACAGGGAGGAATTATAAATACTCTGTTATAAAGTACCTGTACTACCCACGAAGAGGTATAATGTTATTTGGATGTGAACTTAGATTAGTCCACTCTTAGGGGCAAATCTTAATGACCTCAGATTTTGCAATAGATTCTTAGATATGACACCAAAAGCAGGAGCAACAAAAGGAAAATTAGATAACTCGACTTCATCAAAATTAACCTTTTGTGCTTCAAATTATACCATCAAGAAAGTAAAAAGACAACCTACACAATGGGAGACAATATAAACTGATGAGACTTGTATCTAAACTATTTAAAGAACTCAATAATAAAACAACAAACTCAATTTTAAACGAGCAAAGGATCTAACCAGACATTTGTCCAAATAAAATATACAAATTATCAATATGCACAAGAAAAGATGCCTGACATCATTAGTCATCAGGGAAATGCAAATCAAAACCACAATGAGACACCATAAGTCAGATGATGAATGTTGACAAGGATGTGGAAAAATTGGAACCATCATACACTGCTGGAGGGAATGTAAAGTGGTATAATTACTTTGCAAAACAGTATGACAGTTCCTCAAACAGTTAAACATAAGAGTTACAATATGACCTACCAGTTCCATTCCTAGGTATATATCCAGAGAACCACAAATATACATCCACAGAAAAATTTATACACGAATGTTTACAGCAGCATCATGTGTAATAGCCAAAAGTTAGACACAACCCCAATGTCTACCAACTGATGACATTTATGGAAATGTCCAGAATAGGTGAATCTATAGGGACAGAAAGTAGACCAGTGGTTGCTTAGGACAAGGGGTAATGGTGGTATTAGAGTGACAGCTAAAGGGTACAGGATTTCAAAGAAAAGCAAAATATTTCAGCACAAAATATACATCTCTGACATATTTCAAAGTGGCTAATAAAAAGGGCTAGAAAAACAAGAATAGCTAGAAGGCTACCTTTTGTGGAGAATTGCATTTGTGGAGAAATACATCTGCATTGGTGAGACAAACCATCAGGATTTCTCTGAGGTTCCCCCACTTTGTCTACCATCTATTCTTAGGGAAGCTGCCAGATTACCTGAAATATTTTCATCTGCATAACAAAACAGCCTTTGCTTGACTGCTTTCCTTCCTTCACCTATGATGACACCATCCCCAGAGCTCTGAGAAACTTGGTGCCAGGCCATTGTTCTTTGTGCTCATTCATTTTCCCTGCAAATCATTTACTCCTATCTGCACACGATTGGGTTATTGGGCACTCTCCTGCGATTTCCCTGTTCTATGCACATTAAAACTGTGAAAATTCCCTGTGCATAGCTCCCCCCATAGCATGTTAAAATAAAATTTATTATGCTTTTTCTTACATTAATCTGCTTTTTTGTCATTTGATTTTAAGTAAACCTTCAGGCGGTCACGTGAAGGGGAAGTTTTCCCTTGGCCCCTGTTTCTTTCTAAGGTGATGAAAATGTTCTAAAATGAACTGTGGTAATGTCTATGAGTACTAAAAATTATTGAACTGTACACATTAAATGCATAAACAGTATGGTATGTGAATTGCATTTTAATAAAGCTCTTAAAAAGTAAATGCCCATGTTTTTAGAGATGCAAACTGAAGTATGTATAATGTTTAGCAAAGAGATAAAGAAAAAGGGCAAAGTGGGATAAAGCAAATGTGGCAAATCTCTATAGTTTTTGAATCTAGGTAGTGGGATCCAGTGCAGTGGGATCCCTTCAGCCTCATACTAGATGGTTGTGGATGAAGCTGACTGTTCAACATTTTGGATCTACTAATACCATGATTTTGTTTCAAAGTTTTTCTCTTTAAAAAAAAAAAAGCAAGTACTTTCAAAACGAAATACAGAAATTCTTCTCCAAAGTAGCACCTAATTATTTGGTAACCAGTTTTCTTGACTCTGATATCTTTAAGTAGAATAAAAAACTAAACAGTACTCTGAACAATCTATCATTTTGCCTGCACTATAAAGTAGTTTTGCTTTAAATTGGTATTTACAAAAATGAAACCTGCAACTTTAGATTTAACAAGATTTTTAAATTACACGCATTTTACCACCTAGTCTTATTTTGGACCTATTTTTCCATCCCCCTGTTTTACAAAGTACTAAAGTACGTATAAGGGTACTTCAAAAAGTTAGTGGGAAAAACAGAATTAAAAGATAATACGAATCTTTCCATGAATTTTCTATAAAAATTAGTTAAGATCGACAGTGAGGTGAATTACAGCAAAAACTATCACTAAAAATTTACCTGCTGACACAGCACCGATAATTGTCAAAATATATTCTTCCTCTCTCATAGGCTATAGGTGACTTGGAATGAGTTGTCCAAACGTTCTTAAATTTAGTACTTTCCTGAAAGACACAAGGAATTTCGGTTTAGGAAAGAACCCATAAGCCTATACTGCACACCCATTTTAAGTTGGTTAGTTAAATTTACAGTTTTCAAAGTAATTTCACGTACGTTACTTAAATACAGATTTTCAATTCTGTCCTCACGTTTTGGTTTAATGGGTGACCTCCTTTTAGAAAGACTGTTTACAGGAAGACATAAGAAGCTTAAAACTAAAAGCATCTGGGGGCCCTATTAATACCTATTTACTTAATTCCCCCAGTTCAGGGCATGTATCCACCTTCCCATCACACGTGACTCTCTTAAAACCGGGCGCTAACGCGTAAAAACCGCACCCCAGCAGGAGGCTCGACCGCCAGGCGCCCCGCTGCCCTCAGTCCCGGCCAGCGGGCGGTCACCTGGCACACCAGCTCCCGCAGGATGCCCAGGTTCGTCCTCTGCACCACGCCTGCGTCGCGCGAGAAGCAGCCCAGCGCCCGGTGACTCAGCCGGCGACACACGTTGGGCTTCCGGGTTGGGCCCATGGAAGCGCCGGCCGGGCGCGGGGTTGGCTGGACTGAAGAGGGGTGCGCCCTTCACTCCGGTGCGGGGCAGCAGCTGCTACCTTCGAACCTGAAGGCCCCAGCTTTCCTGGTGGGACCCAGTTAAAGCTGACACGGGGAGCCGGACAGGGCGCGAGGGAAAGCAGAGCCGGCGCCGCCTCAACTCCGAGGGGAGGGAAGGAAAAAACAGCCCTTTGCCGCCGTGCCCATCACACGCTCTCCAGCAGCCGACACTGCGATGCCGGGCGCAGACAGCCTACCGGAGCCGCTCCCTCACTGGGAAATGTAGTTCCTAGAGCCCTCTGAAGGAGGCTGGTTTCTTCCCAGAACTACAATTCCCATCAGGCGGTGGGGAGCGAGTAATTCCTCTGGCCCCGCCTCTATCCCCGCCTCCTCCCTGTCCCAGACTCGCGGCCTCGCCTCCAACCCGCCTCCTCCGGTCCAGCGGAGGCTGCGCGGGCTGTCGCGCTCTTCCGGGTCTGCTTGCTGTGGTGTGAGGAGAGCCCTGGAGGTGGTGTGTTGCCGCCTCCTGGTCTGTTTTTTATGCGCATCCTGCACACGGACCCGTCCTTCACCGCCCCAGTAACCCCACGCGTCTCAGTCCCTGACCTTCGCTCTGGAAGGCCCCGGCCAGGCGCCGGAAGGGGCGCCGTGCCGAGTGCGACATCCCCAAAGCAGCGTCCTGTCCTGAAGGTACGCCACGCGGCTTTCCCTTCAGCCCAACGTTGGACGTTGTGGATGAGGTTGAGGGTTAAGCATTTGGGGTGTAAGGCTACTTCAAAACGTTTGTGAAAAAATAGGATTAAAAGATAATAGGAATCTTTCCGAGAACGTTTTGAAATACCCTCGTATAAACTGTATGCTTTTTTATTATGAGTTAGTGGGGGAAGATGCTGGCTTTCCCACCAAACTAGAATTGAATTACTCTTCCCCAGAGGCCGGCCCTCGCGTGGCCTGCGGGGACACTGGCTGGTTTTGCGATAATTGGTGCATTTTCCTTTCTCCCGCCTTTTTTTTTCCTTACAGGGAATAAAGTATGAAATGCATTCTTATTGGACGACGTAAGATAGTCCACTCTAAGTAAACGATAACTTATACTTTTGTTAACTAGACCTGACTGTATGTTCAAAGTTCTCAGCACACCAAAATTTCAATAACCGTGCCCTTTGCTTTGCTGTAAGCCCTTTGAGGTGGTGTCTTTGCATCTCCCACGTGGACTTGGCATGGTGCTTGTTGCTATTAGTTGCTCAAAGAAAGTGAGTGATCGCATCTGACTGGCAGAGCAAAAAGTGCAGTACTGAGTGAGAGCTTTGGATTCAGTAAGAATTTGCCGTATCCCTTTTAACACCAATGAATTTCCTTCAGGGCCGGGGCTTTTGCTGATTTTTCATGACTTATTTACAGCATTCCGTGGAGGGCTTTGTGTATTTTTAGAGAGTGCTCCAATAGTTAATTTGGTAATTCGTGAATGCAGCTGTCACTGAGAAAACTGAAACCCAAAAAAGATAACTGCGTTTTCTTTGGCTGGAATGGAATTAAAATTATTGCTGAATTGGAATTCATCATCTCTTTTCTCCTTCCTCTTTACGACCCCTCCCCCCCAAAACCACACACACTTGTTTGTCTTCCTGTGGTCTTTATCTCACCACCAAGTCAACCAAGGGAGAGTCACTCTACATGGACTGTTTTCCGTCACCCACAACCAAATCCTTTTGATTCTGATTCTTGTCCATCTCATCTTCATTTCATCTGAGTAATTTAGGGCCTTGCCATTTTTATCACATTGTTATATTAAGTAGCCTCCTCCTACTCTTTCTACCTTACTTGGGTACTTTCAATTCCAACCCTCCACACTGCTGCCAGAGTGATTTTTCTAAAGCATAGAGGTGTTACTTGGCCTGTTACAGTCTTTTCAGTGGCTCCCAATCACACATAGCAGGATTTCTCAAACTCAGGATCGTCCATTGTTAACTTAAAATATTTTCAGTATGTTACATATATGCAAATATAAAACTAGGTATAAACTCGTTATGTTGTATCTTTTGTACAACTGTAACACCCATTTATAAGTTAAATGAAGTAAAACTATAAAACCAATAAATTCAAATGAATACCTATTCTTTTTTTTTTTTTTTGCTGGACCTAAAGAGTTCTAAAAGTGAATGTATCCTATCCTCTGTGACACATCTTCTTTAAAGAAAGGCCTGTCTATATTGCACTTGTGTTGAGAGATTACTCAATGCCTTCACCTCTTTTCTTTACTTAAACCACTGCAAAAACTTCTTTTGCAAACTTATTTAAATTTTTTTGTTTAAACCACAGCAATACCTTACTTTGTTGAATGTGTCATGACTTCACTTGACCTTCATCGGACCAACATCATTTACATACAGTAGTCTCCATTTCTTTTTCATTAACCTGCGCCATTGACAAATGGTACCATTTGTTTAGCAAAGCACTCCTAAACACAAATGTCTGAACTGGAATCTTGTGACAACACTCAACTAAAAGATTGTCATCCAGATGATTCAGAAAATCCTTTTGTTAAAATTCTTTTTAAAATAGCTTTTATCAAATTAAAAATACAAGGTTTTCCTTAGAGAAATCTCAAAGCCTTAAGGATAGATGTAAGAATCCCTTAGGGTCCATAAATAGTACAAAGTCTGAATCCCTTTGGGTAGTGTATAGGGCACACCACTATCATTGTCTTGCCCACATTTTCAGCCTCATCTCCTTAGTCATTCCTCACATTTGCTCTTGAGGTTCTGACATGTTTGCACACTTTCTCAAACCAATGTGTTTGAGATTTTCTTTATCTAAACTCCCTTTCTCCCCTCTGTTACTTATCTCATGACTCATTCCAGGTATCACAGTTCCACTCAGACCCTTTTCCTGACCCCTCCACATTAGTTAGTAGCCTTGTCTGTGCTTCCATGTTACTTTGTATACAGTGTGGCACTATATTAGAATTGTCATTTGTCTCTTCCCAAGTGGCCTCGGAAGAAATTGAGCAGTAATATCATTCTGCCTCCTTAGTACACTGCCTAAAATGTGGTTAAGGAATATGTATGTTGAATGAATGAATAAACTATAAAAACAATGTTTGTTTAGAATCTATATCAGCAGCTAAGTACTTTTAGCATAGATGCAGATTTAATCTCCCCTTATTTTTTAAATCAACAGGAAACCACAATATTATTAAGAAGTAACTTTCAAAAAACTTAAATCCCTCAGAGTTCTTCCTATAAAGTAGATATTTTCCATTTGTTTGAATGTAAAATGGCATGAACAGGTACAGTTTTATGATTGGGAAACGACTTCTCTTAGTTTGGGACATAGAACAAATATTAGTTTGTTTGTTTTTTTCCCATTCTTTGTCTGTGTTACATTTACAGAATACTTGAACATCCTAGCCATAATATTTTAAAGACAAGGAAGAAGTATGAATTAGAAGTTAATAAAATGCTTTCTGTTCATATGCTTTGCTTAAGGAAGCATAGCATAACTGAATAAATACAGGAAACACTCAGGTTATTAAACGGGAACATTTGTCCAGAGACAAAGAAATTTGAACCAAGGTCACAGGAGGTCATTCATTTAACATGTAATTATTGTTTTTCACCTACAGCTTACTAGGAACTGTTTTGGCATAGCACATAGTGATGAACAGGATAAACAAGGGGGAAGGTAGACAATAAAAAAATATATAGATGAAAGAATGTGGGGGAAGGTAGACAATAAAAAAGTAAATAGATGAAAGAATAAGATTTTTAGGTAGTGATAGGTGCTGTGAAGAAAATAAAAGGGGGATGTGCTTGTGAGTGCTTCGGAGCCCTGCTTTAGCCAGAGTGGTAAGGGAGGGCCTCTCTGAAGAGGGGTCTTTTGAGCTGAGCCCTGAATGATGAAGAGGAGCCAGTCTGTAAAGATCTAAAGTAAGAGTAGTAGTCCAAGTAAAAGGATGCTCAAATGCAAGGTCCCCAAGGATTATAGTAACAAGCTTGGCTTAGTCTAAAACTGTCAGAAGGCCAGTGTGGCTCTTTAGCATTCAGGAGGGAGAAACTTGGAGCTGTAGGCTGGGACCAAGTCAAAGGCTGTGGTAAGGAATTTTGGATTTTATTCTGTTGTGATAGAAAGCTGTAGGAGGCTTTGAAGAGAGGAATGACATGATTTAATTGTGTTTAAATAAGGTCATTATGGCTATAGTTATGAATGTATTATAGGGGGGCAAGAATGATTGCAAGGAGACAGGTGCTGTTTCATTGGTCCAGTAAAGAGATGATAGCATTTTGGACTAGAGTGGTAGCAGGAGATGGAAAGAAGTGAAAAAATTCAGGACATATTTTGGAAGTAGAGTTGACAGGACTTCTGATGTAGTGGATATTAAGGATGAGGAAAAGAAAAGAATCAAATGAAATCATAGTAAAGCAGAACCGTAATAAATATCCCCAAATTCCCCAGAACAAATGGGAAATAGGCAACTACTAATGATGTGATGTCAGTGAAACATTGCGTGGATTTATTAAAGGTACACATTAGTGTTATACATTTGTACTGAAGAATGCTGGGATCTGCTCTGTGACTAAAGCATGTGGGAAGAGGGGAATAAATCAGATCCTGGAAGTAGGTAGGGGCCAGAGCATGTGGTACCATGGAAATGAAATGGAGAATCATTAGAGTGATATGATATCCTCTTAGGTGTAGTAGCATCAGGAACAAGAGTGAAATATAGGGAGAGCAGTTAGCTGCTAATTGTAGTAGTCCAGATGAGAGTCACTTTGGGAATTTATTTTGAAATTATTGAGGCTTTTGGTCATAAGCTTGGTTCTTACGTTTCCTTTCCTCTGTGTATTTTAATGAGATTTGTCTGAACATGCAGTAATTCATGTATATACCAAGTTCAAAAAGATTCAGGTTTAAAGGATTGAAAGTAAAGTTTGCAAGCTATTCCTCTCATTTAAAAAAAGATTTTTTCAAAAGAATTTGTACAGATGACAGCATAATATATAAATAATATGAGTAATTATAAAATGAATATCCATATACCTATCATCAACTTTGAAAAAACAGAATATTTCCTAAAACTTTGACATCTCCTGTGTGCTCCCCTTGGTTCCAGATCCCTCTTTCCTAAAATCCTAACTTTTGAATGTTTTTGACCATCATATAAATTGAATCATTATGTATGTACTCTTCTGCAACTTGCCTGTATTTTCCTCAACATTATACTAGTCAATCTATCTGTAGATCCTTCATTTTTACTACTGTGTAGTATTTCATTGTGTTCATTTACTACAATTAATTTATACATTTTCTACTGGCTGGGCTTTTGTTTCTTTCAGGTTTTTTATTCCTAGAAAAGTGCTGCTATAGACATTCTTATATCTGTCTCCCTCCGTGTTAAAGAGTGCATTAGTTTTCTGTTGCTCTGTAAAAATTATCACAAATTTAGCAGCTTAAACCAACATTCATTTATTACCTCAAATCCTGTAGTTTAGACATCCTGACAGCATTGCCTGGTTCTCTGCTCAGGGTCCCACCAGGCTGAGATCATAGTGTCAGCCAGGGCTACAAGCTCATCTAAGGCTCACAGTCCTCTTCCACCCTCCCTGGTTGTTGACAGAATTCAGTTCCTTACAGCTGTAGGACTGAGGCCCTCAGCTCCTACGGGTTGCCGCTGTTCCCTGCTACATGGC